CTGGAGTCCAATCAATGAGATGAGATTGGAGGTTGTTGGTTACAGCTGCCCTGCCCTATAAAAAACACACCAGTTCTGGGTTTGCTTTTGACAAGAAGCATTGCCTGATGTGAATGATGCCTCGCACAAAAGAGCTCTCAGAAGACCTACGATTAAGAATTGTTGACTTGCATAAAGCTGGAAAGGGTTATAAAAGTATCTCCAGAAGCTTTGCTTTCCATCAGTCCACAGTAAGACAAATTGTCTATAAATGGAGAAAGTTCAGCACTGCTGCTACTCTCCCTAGGAGTGGCCGTCCTGTAAACATGACTGCAAGAGCACAGCGCAGACTGCTCAATGAGGTGAAGAAGAATCCTAGAGTGTCAGCTAAAGACTTACAAAAGTCACTGGCAAATGCTAACATCCCTGTTAGCTAATCTACAATACATAAAACACTAAACAAGAATGGATTTCATGGGAGGATACCACAGAGGAAGCCACTGCTGTCCAAACAAAACATTGCTGCATGTTTACAGTTTGCACAAGAGCACCTGGATGTTCCACAGCAGTACTGGCAAAATATTCTGTGGAAAGATGAAACCAAAGTTGAGTTGTTTGGAAGAAACACACAACACTATGTGTGGCGAAAAAAAGGCACAGCACACCAACATCAAAACCTCATCCCAACTGTGAAGTATGGTGGTGGGGCATCATGGTTTGGGGCTGCTTTGCTGCGTCAGGGCCTGGACGGATTGCTATCATCGAAGGAAAAATGAATTCCCAAGTTTATCAAGACATTTTGCAGGAGAACCTAAGGCCATCTGTCTACCAGCTGAAGCTCAACAGAAGATGGGTGTTGCAACAGGACAATGACCCAAAGCATAGAAGCAAATCAACAACAGAATGGCTTAAACAGAAGAAAATACGCCTTCTGAAGTGGCCCAGTCAGAGTCCTGACCTCAACCCGATTGAGATGCTGTGGCATGACCTCAAGAAAGCGATTCACACCAGACATCCCAAGAATATTGCTGAACTGAAACAGTTCTGTAAAGAGGAATGGTCAAGAATTACTCCTGACCGTTGTGCACGTCTGATCTGCAGCTACCGGAAACGTTTGGTTGAAGTTATTGCTGCCAAAGGAGGTTCCACCAGTTATTAAATCCAAGGGTTCACATACTTTTTCCACCTGCACTGTGAATGTTTACAAGGTGTGTTCAATAAAAACATGGCAACATTTCATTCTTTGTGTTATTAGTTTAAGCAGACTGTGATTGTCTATTGTGATTTAGATGATGATCAGATCACATTTTATGACCAATTTGTGCAGAAATCCATATCATTCCAAAGGTTTCACATACTTTTTATTGCAACTGTACTTTAATGTTAAATAGAATCTGTTTTAGGTTTTAATGTATCGTAGCGTAAAGTTCAAGTTTATTAATATTTGGCTTGCAGAAATATTTTACTGTTTAATCTCTTTGAGTAAATTTTGTTCATGAAGCAAACATTTTATCATCATAAACATATGGAATTTAGTGAGCCCTGATAAACATAGAAAATGCTTTATGACTGCCATTTCATAATGTAAGCTTAAATATCATGCATCTATAAATGTAATTGTTGCTTCATATGTGCACATTGACTAAATGTAAATTGTTACTGTGAAATCTGATATCGCAATCTCTCAGCATAAAATGGACGTTCCATCGAATTCAACTTGACAATAACATGAAAAACATGAAAAACTCCATACATGTAACAAAAACCATTCAGAAGTTTCAGGATTAACTATGTGGTTCCCTAGTCATTGTTAAAGGGCAGGTCTACTTGACTTAATTTAATATAAATTGATGATGGATTCCCTAATCCCTAGGAAACTCTGGCTATGAATATTGGATAAAGTCATCACTCTAAGTCGTCATGCTAAAGTATAGTTACATCCAGGGACGTATTAGCCGTGAGGCAAACTAGGCATTTGCCTTGGGCGGCACTTTCCAGGGGGCGTGCAAAAAAAGTGTAAGATATTGTGTGTGTGTGTGTGTGTGTATACTGAATAGTGTGTGTTAGTGAGAGTGTGAGACATTGTGTGTGTGTGTATACTGAATAGTGTGTGTTAGTGAGAGTGTGAGACATTGTGTGTGTATACTGAATAGTGTGTGTTAGTGAGAGTGTGAGACATTGTGTGTGTGTGTATACTGAATAGTGTGTGTTAGTGAGAGTGTGAGACATTGATTGTGTGTGTGTATACTGATTAGTGTGTGTTAGTGAGAGTATGTGTATACTGAATAGTGTGTGTTAGTGAGAGTGTGAGACATTGTGTGTGTGTATACTGAATAGTGTGTGTTAGTGAGAGTGTGAGACATTGTGTGTATACTTAATAGTGTCAGTGAAATTATGTGTATACTTAACAGTGTGTGTTAGTGAGATTGTGGCACATTGTGTGTATACTTAATAATAGTGAGTGTTAGTGGGAGTGTGTGACATTGTGTGTATACTTAATAGTGTGTGTCAGTGACGTGTATACGTAATAATAATGTGTTAGTGTGTGACATTGTGTGTATACTTAATAATAGTGTGTGTTAGTGAGTGTGTCAGTGACATTGTGTACATACTTAATACATGTGTTAGTGAGAGTGTGTGACTTGTGTATACTTCAGTAAGTAGTGTATGTTAGAGTGTGTAAGTGACGTGTGCGAGTGACTATGCGACCAATTATATTCATAATACATTTGATAGATTATAATGAAAAAAATGTTTCTTACAGTGAACCTGTTAGACAGGTTCACTGTAACATTAATTAACGTAAACCCATTACTATAAATTAAATCCCACAATATTATAAATAAAATCCCACCAAATGAATGAAAATATTATTATCACAGCTATAAATTATATATTTAATGTAAAATGTATCCCAACATGCAAAAATGCATTTCAGGGAGGTGGCTTCACAATTTACTACGCCACCCCCGTGCACATGTGCGGTCACTCCACCTCCCCCTGACATGCTTGCGCTCACTCCCCCCCCCTCCACCAACACACACAGACACACAGATATGCGTACTGGCACATACACACACTCTGGCACATACACACTGACACACAGATACACACATTGAAACGCACACTGGCACATACATTCAGATACACACACTGAAACACACACAGATACACACACATATTGACATGCACAGAAGTCATACTTTATAGATTTGATTGTGTGTGTGATTTCCGGGATATTATGTATGATCTGCGTGTGTGTCAGGGAACCGCATTCAACATGCGAGAGTCTCCCTGAACTACCGGGAGACATGGGATGTCTGGTATTTGGCAGTATGTGTGTATGGATGTATGTTTTAGGCAGTGTGCATGTATGGGTGTATGTATTAGGCAATATATGTATTGTGCAATATGTGTGTGCAGATGGATGTATTAGGCAGTGTGTGTGTATGGATGTAAGTATTCAGTGAGTATGTATTAGGCAGTGTGCGTTTATGGGTCTATGTATTAGGCAATATGTGTGTATAGATGTATGCATCAGGCAATATGTGTGTATAAATGGATGGATGGATGTATTAGGCAGTGTGTGTGTATATGTATCAGGCAATATGTGTGTATAAATGTATGGATGGATGTATTAGGCAGTGTGCGTGTATGGGTTTGTATGTATTAGGCAATATGTGTGCAGGAGCAGAGCAAACAGAGAAGAGCAGAACAAGCAGAGAAGAGGCAGCGCAGAGCAAGTAGAGAGGACAAGAGCAGAGAGGAGCAGAGCAAGTAGAGAGGAGCGGAGCAGAGTAAGTAGAGAAAAGCAGAGCAAGTCGAGAGTGGCGGAGCAGAGCAAGCAGAGAGGAGTAAAAGCAGACCATGCAAATAGAAGCACAGCATGCAGAGAGGAGGCAGAGCAGAGCAAGCAAAGAGGAACAGAGCAAGCATAGAGGAGCAAGAGCAAAGGAGGCAGAACAGATCAAGCAGAGAGGAGCAGGTATTGTGGCCCGCTGCCTCTGCCACATCTAGGTTCTAAGAAAAGTGAATTAATTGCACTGATTACAGTGAGTGGTGTGAGTGTGACAAAGGTTACTTAATTGCAGACAGTGAGTGGTATGACAGTGGCACTTACTCCTGATTGCAGACAGTGAGTGGTATGACAGTGGCACTTACTCCTGAGATTGCAGAAAGTGTTGTGACAGTGTCACCTTACTTACCAGAGATTGCAAACAGTTTGCAGTGCGGCCCCTCATAAGGTGTGAAACCTTACCTACCTGAGAGTGCAATTTGCAGAGGGACTGAGTGAGCGGAGCAGACACTCCAGACAGTGGCACTACTACTGTATGTAACGTGAACTTTAATTGCAGCTTTTGAGTAAATGATATGCATGTACCCAGGATTCCATATTGTGAGCAAGAGAATGAAACAAGTAATTTTAGTTTGTGTTGGTATAGTATTCACCAACTATAGGTCAGGGCACAAACTTTAGTGCCAACCATTTTTAATTGTTCATGGAAGTGGAGCGAAATCTGCTCTTCTTACAGGAAAATTTAATTTGAATTAGCATTTCAAAATACAACTTTGTGTCACTTTAAAATGCTTAAACTGTAGCGTAGAGAATACACTGTTAAGTGACCATTTTCTATGTATGTGAAATATTTATATAGAAGTGTTAATTTAAATTCCCTTCAAATTGCATGTTGTAAATTATTTTTAAAAATAATGTTTTTTTTTTTAAAACTAGTTTTGTAACAATTCTGGCATCATGAGATATTGTTACAATTGCAACTCTAAAGCAGACTTAAGCATATTTATCAAGGTGCTGGAAATCTGAATTTTGTTAACTTTTAAATGTTCTCCACGTGTGTGTGTGTGTGTGTATACACACACACACACACACACGTTTTGTAATTGCCCCCCTACTTCTGTCCCCGGCCCCCCATGTGCCCCCCCTAAATATGAATGCTGGAGACGCCACTGAGGAGTGGCCAGTGAAGTTATCACTAGGCTGTAATGTAAACCCTGCATTTTCTCTGAAAAGACCGTGTTTACAGCAAAAAGCCTGAAGGTAATGATTCTACTCAGCATAACAAATTCAATAATCTGTAGTTGTTCTGGTGACTATAGTGTCCCTTTAACTGTGTTGCATAATTAGACTATTCTGAATGTTTTGTTCTATTTACAACCAGTCTACAATGTAAACTTTGCTTAGTCAGCTCTCATTAGGTGCCTTGAACATTGCTCACATAAATAGCACTTGGCGATGTGATTTGAAGGTGCCCTCAATGTGTTTCTTTGCCTGTGGTATAATAAAGTTGCAGCCCTGTCTCTTCCTCTCTCTGTGTATGTGGTGTCTACATTCTACATTCAATCTGCACTCATAAAACGAAGTTATAAAAGTAGAGTGTGTTTTAATGTAAGCATCAGGATAACAGGAGCAGGTTAAATGTTACATTGTGACATTTTTTGATGAGAACAGTTCAAACATTTTGAGAGATGATGTGGCAGTAATAGCTTACTTGACCTCCGGGTCAGGCTTAAGAGCCATCAGTCACTGCCACACAAGCAAAGGAAAGTCTACCCAGTTTTTTACTTGGCTATGAAGAGTTTTCCCTCTGCTTGGGCTTTTCTTTTTTTTTAAATAATTGATTCTTCATGTTGGGACCTCGGAGACTCCCTACTTAAAATGTCCAACTTGAAGATCAGATATGGAGCAATTTTCATAGCCCTTAGCCATTTTGCTTTATTTTTATAGCTAGTTATTTTTAACTGCTATATGCTAATATGTGACTTTGCACACTAAATTGCATATTTTATTCGAAATTTTATCTGCACCTAAAACATTTCATTGTCTTTTAGGATGTTTGCATCATGTTTTTACCAATATATTATAATAGCTATTTCTTTTTTTCTCTTTGCACCAACTATGCAGTCTATTCACGAGATAGTACAATGCTTACATCTGCTTAAAAACTGTTTTGTGAGAGTGTGCATGTTCATACTTTTTTTTTTGTAAATATAATTTTTATTGTTTTGTGGTAGGTCAGTATGTCAGTACAGTGGAGACTCGCAGGTCTCAGAATTTTTGACATATTAGAACATTAGGTTTGCCCATCAGGTGTGGACAAGCAGGTCTCCGGACTGGGCAGTTACATAGTAACATAGTTACATAGTTACCTAGCTGAAAAGAGACTTGCGTCCATCAAGTTCAGCCTACCTCACATTTGTTTTTTCTGTTGATCCAAAAGAAGGCAAAAAAACCCAGTTTGAAGCACAATTTTGCAACAAGCTAGGAAAAAAATTCCTTCTTGACCCCAGAATGGCAGTCAGATTTATCCTTGGATCAAGCAGTTATTACCCCTACATTGAAAGATTATATCCTTGAATATTCTGTTCTTGCATGTATGCATCTAGTAGCCGTTTGAACATCTGTATGGACTCTGATAAAACCACTTCCTCAGGCAGAGAATTCCACATCCTGATTGTTCTTACAGTAAAAAAAACCTTTCCATTGCCTTAGACGAAATCTTCTTTCTTTCAGTCTAAACCATTAGACATGTTGAGTAACCTGGATTCACTGATCATATTAGAAATCTGGTACATTTAGAGCATTGTATTATGTCATTGTGTAGGTAATCTACCGTTTGCATGTTCATACTTTCATTACAAAAAAAACAACATGAAAATCAATACTGAAATTTTATTTCATACTTACCAGTAAATTTATTTTCCTGGCTATTTATCATGACAGCCTCACAAATGGGTAGCTCCACCCCCAGCTGGATCAGGACAGGAAACAAACAATTAACTAGACTAGGTCTCTCCTCCTTTCATAACTCAGTCCAATTGAAAAGCTCCAATAAAACCCAGAGCGGGAACCTGATGCTTCCATAATAAATAGCCAGGGAAATAAATTTACTGGTAAGTATGAAATAAAATTTCAGTATTCCTGGCTAATCATGACAGCATCACTTATGGGTAATTCCCAAGCTAATAGGAAAAAAAAAAGGGAGGGGGGAATATATTCCACTCAGAATACTGTAAAAAACACAGGCTTAACCGAAAAGGAGGATCCATAAACTGAAAATGTTTTCCCCAAATCCAAAACCGCAGAAACTTTACATGCTTCTGGTGTATGGGGATCTGATAATATGTGTCCCTTAGGTTTATGGAAGTCATCCAATCTCCTTATGTTCATGATTATTGCCGAAATGGATTCCGTCTTGAATGATCTTTAGTTTGATGTTCAACACTTTCAGATCTAAAATAAGTAAATTTCCCTTCTGGTTTTGGAGCCAAAAACACTGTGGAATAGAAACCTGTAAACCTTTCCTCTTTTGGAACTTCCTTGATCACTCCTAGTTTTAGCACATTCGAGATACAATTACTCATGGCGGTTTCTTTTATGCCTCTTGCGACTCTTGAACGCTTGAACACGAGTTGA